AGGAAGAGACAGGGAGGGAGGGGGAGGGGGAGGAAGGGGGAGGGAGGGAAAGAGAGGGAGAGGGAGGGAGAGAGGGGGAGGGATAGAGGAGGAGGGAGAGGGAAAGGGGGAGGGAGGGAAAGAAGGAGAGGGAGGGAGAGAGGGGGAGGAAAAGGGAGAGGGAGAGAGGGGGAGGGAGGGAAAGAAGGAGAGGGAGGAAGAGGGAGGGAGAGAGGAGGGGGAGGGAAAGGGAGATAGGAGGAGGGAGGGAAAGAGAGGGAGAGGGACGAAGAATAAGGGAGGGACGGCGAGAGAGAGATGCTTTGGGTAGAAATCCAGTCCAAAATGCTTAGAGGTAATGCCGTAGGAAAGTGGAAGCTACTTGCTACGTTCATGAAATGTAAGTTTGCACCTGGTTCAACGTGCATCTCCCACCTGTCGTTTATGCAGGTTCCTTGTCTCAGTCCGAATGCAGCAGTCCCAGCTTGGTAACTCCTCCCCAGTCACCCCTTAACTTGGAGACCTCCTCTTTTGCCAGTAGCCAATCGCAAAATTCTCTTTCCACCTTGCCCAGGATTTCAGTGAGTCCGGTCTCGATGGGGCAGTGCCGAAAAGACAAGTAAGTCGCAGTCGAGTTTAGGCCAATGCTTCATCTCAAAGAGGGAAAGAACCTCACCTTGGTTGAGCTCCGTTCGTGGTGGCCTCAAATCCATGCAGTTTTCTTGACAACAGTCTGGAAATGCTCTTCCATGGCCTTCTTTGGGGATGTTTATTTCAGCTTCCCAGTCTTGTCTTATGTTGTCCACCCTCCCACCAGTGGTGGGATTCAACATTTTTTACTACCAGTTCTGCGGGCGTGGCAGGGGAAGGATACTGCGAAATCCCCATTCCCTCCTCACCCCACTAACCTGCTTTTCAGCTCCGTTCTCCTGTGCAGGGCAACCAGAGGAGACCCAGCTGATCAGCTGGGACTCAATGGGAGGCAGAGAATAGATGGGGGTGGGGCCAGTCAGAGATGATGTTTGCCGGTTCTCCGAACTACTCAAAATTTCCGCTACCGGTTCTCCAGAACTGGTCAGAACCTGCTGAATACCACCTCTGGTTTTCTCCCATCCATTCCCAGGTGGCATCTCATACAACCAATACTAATCGATTACCAACCTGGTTTAATTTTAGAACCCAGCAGGTTCAGATATCTCTAACCACCTTCGCATATCTTGTAGTGTATGTGTGTATTTGTGTGTGTGGTTTTATTTTTACGATCCTTGTAATCCCTTTTATCGGGGTGGAGTCAGGGCGATTGAATGGAGCTGAGCATTTACTGGCGGGATGCCCTTTCTGACACCTGGGTGGAGTTCACAGCAGATATTTTCTTTTTGCGTCCTGATAGGGAAACCTCCGCCTAGGATCAAACTCTCAACTCAAACTCGAGCCAGCAGATTTTCCCAGCCTCACTCCCCTAATTGGCAAAAGGGCTTAATTTAATTATGCACCTTTAGAGACAAAGAAAATCCAAACAGAAGTGATTAAGCAACTTAATCTGCAGGAATTGTATGGAACACTGTTTATTTATTATTTCTCTGTTTTGCATCCTAAATAAAGCCAGAATTTGGGCAGATTATAACACAAATATAGAATATCCCCCCACATCCCAAATAGTTTATCAACTAACGAGTTCACTGTTCTTAGAAACATCGATATTGCTCCCCAAATGTGTTCATGTAATCACATTTCTCAATAAAATTAAAATTAAAAAAATTAAAATTAAAATTAAAAAAAATTAAAATTAAAAAAATTAAAATTAAAATTAAATTAAAACTATATTAAATTTTTAAAAAAACCACTAAAGGCAAGCTGTGCATTTCGGCCAAACTGCTACTTTGCCTTGAGACCATTCCTAGGACAAGAATCGGCACCAGAAGGCAGGACACGAAACAGTGTATGGAAACTAATCAAGGAGAAAAGCAACGTAGAAGTAAGGAGAAGCCTCTTAACAGAATCATTAATCAGTGGAACAACTTGCCACCAGAAGTTGTGGGTGCTCCTTCACTGATGGTTTTTAAAAACAGATAGGACAGCTGCTTGTCTTCTAGTCCAGGGTCTCCAACCTTGGGAACTTGAAGACGTGTGGACTTCAGCTTTGCTGGGTGAGGAACTCTGGGAGTTGAAGTCCACACATCTTCAAGTTCCCAAGGTTGGAGACCCCTCTTCTAGTCCAACCCTTGGGACTAGAAGACCTCCAAGGTCCCTTAGCTCTATTCTCATTGATTGATTGAATCCTGTATGATTACCTGGGGAACCCAAAGGTTCGTGATCTCTTCCTTCACCAAGAGCTTTTCCGGAAGCCTTCCTTTCCAAATCTGAACAAGAGAATCCATACTTCGGTGTGGGACCCATTTTATTTAAGTACAGTGGAACCTCGGGTCGCGAATGCTCCTGTTCACGATCAAATCGTTCAGCGAACAAAAAATCCATCTGATTTTTGAAATCGGGTCATGATTCAAAAATCAGGGGGCGAACAAAATCAGTGTGGAAAAATTCCCTTTCTGTGCCGATTTCTCCTTAGGCACCAATTTTTTTTTGACTGCGCACTTGCGCAGCCGATCGTGTTTCCAGATATGACCAAACAGGGTTGCAACTGCAGTCTGGGAGCAGATTATGGCTGTGATCCGAGGCTCCACTGTATTTTTTGGCAGAATCTTATCATTTAATCTCGCGTGATCTTTCGTCCAACTTCATGGAGGTGAAGGTGGGGATTGAGCGGGTAATATAAGGTGGGTGGGAAGATGGGAAGCTTTCTCCCCACTTCTGAAGCACATTAAAAATAAATACCTTACAGATTTAATACAGGTAATCCTCGACTTACAACAGTTCATTTAGTGACTGTTCAAAGTCACGGGGTCACTGCAAAAAAGGGACTCCACATGATCATTTGTCACACATATGAACTTTGCAAGCGATTGTGTGATCAAAATTCAGACATTTGGCAACCTGGTTCATACTTACAATCGTTGATCCCCTTTGGCGACTTTTTGACAATGGGGAAGCCAGAGTCACTTAACCACCGGGTGACTGACTTATCAACCGCAAGTGTCTCGCTTAACAGCCGTGGCAAGAATGGTCGTAACATGGGGGGAAACTCACGTAACACATGTCTCACTTGGCAACACAAATTTGGGGCTCAGTTGCATTCATAAGTCAAGGACTACCTGTAACCTGCTAGTTCAGAAGGCTGTGGTTTGCGGTGTGCCCTCCCAACAGGAAAATCCACCAGATTGGAAAATTCCTGCAACTCCAAGAGTGGGATACAAAATAAACACAGTGACAAAAAACAGGTGAAACCCCTTTTATTCCTTCACTTTGCTTCCAAGCTCCAAATATCCTTGACTGGAGACAAAAAACTCCCCCACAACCAGTTACAAGAAGGAGGAAATAACGTTCAAATTATAAAGAGTAAAAAACAACACAAACCAGGCAAGGATAAGGGCTTGAAGACATCCACAGATATCAGAACACCCACTGGGAAGGATGCCGAATTCAGGGAGGAACAATAAACTAGAGATATTTCCACACTTTGTTTCCAGCACTCGCCCGTACGCATGTCCATCCTCTTATCCAGTTGTCACAGCTGCAGCCCATGAAGAGGATCAAGGCCCTCTCCTCCCGAATAGACCACATCTCTCCCTTATCCTTTTCTCCCTGCGAGCCCTAGGATGGAGAGGAGATGGGCTTGGGTCCTCCTCTGACTGCCCAGCCAGTCTCTGCCCTTTCCCGGCCTTCTCCACAACCTTCGGAGCCACACTTCCACTCCCTGTCGGCTGTTCCTCGTCTCCCTCACAGTCAGTCTCCACCGGGGGCATGACATCTCTAGTGATTCTGGAAGCTACCCCATGGCCCCAAACATGCTCCCCGTGAGACCAGGGGATAGTAACCTATAGTACTGGGTTTACTCTCGACTCTAGCTGTTCAATCTGTCGGTTGTGTCTTCCTTCTACTTCATGCCATTCCCATAGTTGCTTTATTTTATCAGTGTCATGTGATCCCCTGTGCCTTAACCAACCCTGGTTTATCAGCAGAAGTAAAGCTATCGTGGTTAGCATCGTGGTTTCATGGCTTTTATTGCAATTTGGCCAGAAAACCAAACAAGGAATGAGTAGATGATTGTGAATTTGGCATCTTCCGTTTTAGCAATGGATTGTTAAGGAGAGCACAGAGACCTATAGCGTGTTACTTAGCAAGAAAGGTTCTTATAAACAGCAGAGCAGTATGCTAAGGGATGCAGTGGCTCAGTGGCTAAGACGCCGAGCTTGTCGATCAGAAACATTGACAATTTGGTGGTTTGAAACCCCAGTGCCGCGTAATGGAGTGAGCTCCTGTTACTTGTCCCAGCTTCTGCCAACCTAGCAGTTCAAAAGCATGTAAAAAAAAAATGCAAGTAGAAAAATAGGGACCCCTTTGGTGGGAAGGTCACAGCATTCCGTGTGCCTTTGGCGTTTAGTCATGCTGGCCCCATGACCATGGAGACGTCTTTGGAGAGCGCTGGCTCTTCAGCTTTGTAACGGAAAGGAGCACCACCACCTAGAGCCAGAAACGACTAGCACATATATGCGAGGAGAACCTTTACCTTTACTTATGCTGAGGTAGGCTGTGGCCTACTACCCAGTTTGAACTGGGCTGTGCATGTAGCTCAACATGCATGTAGCTCAACTTGCATGAGCAGTGGGCCAGGCTCTCCTCTCCCACCCCTGCCAGGCCACCAAACCATAAATGTTGGGGACCGCTGAACTAAGGGATGCTTGGCATGGAAGGTGGTAGCTCTGTCCAAAATTTCCCATGCTTACTTAAAGAGTCTACATCACACTATACCAATAGAAGAGAAGATTTGTAGCTGAGGGTGCAACTGTGAGGTCTCTGAGCTTGGCTGTGTCCTTGCAGACATGTCATGACCCGACTAGGTAACATCATCAGTCCCTAGAAGGGGGTGGGGTTTGCTCTGAGTTTACAGACAAATGGCTCTCCCTGTCAGTTTTGGTGGGGAGTGTTCTTGGTGATTGCTGGATTAGGAGAGTAATCAGTACAGTTAGCATAATCCATCATGCCCAACAACTAGCATGGATCAGTCATGCCTAATTAACATGGTCTGTTAGGATAGTGATTTAAGAGCTGACCAGCTGATACAATGACGTAATGATGGGAATGAGTCAGCAGGGGTTTTGGGCTGTTATCCCTTTAAGAGCCTGTATAATAAGAAGGGGATGCGGTGGCTCAGTGGCTAAGACACTGAGCTTGTCGATCAGAAAGGTCGGCAGTTCGGCAGTTCGAATCCCTAGCGCCGCGTAACGGAGTGACTCCCCTTCCTTCTCCCAGCTTCTGCCAACCTAGCAGTTTGAAAGCACGTAAAAAGAAATGCAACTAGAAAAATAGGGACCCCTTTGGTGGGAAGGGAACAGCGTTCCGTGTGCCTTTGCCATTTAGTCATGCCGGCCACAGGACCACGGAGACGTCTTTGGACAGCGGTGGCTCTTCTTTGGCTTTGTAACGGAGATGAGCACCGCCCCCTAGAGCTGGAAACAACTAGCACGTATGTGTGAGGGGAACCTTTACCTATAATAATAAGAGGTCCTGTTAAAGCATCTCTCTCGCGCGCACTTTATGTTCTTCCCTGCTGTAATTGCTGCTTGCTTGGCCTCTGCCTATAGTACGTGTATGTATAGGATATATTCTTTTGTAGATAAAACCACTGTTTATTACAAACCTCTGTTTGCTGTTATTGCTCCTGGGTTATCTCACATATTAAAGCTGTGCACACTCTGACATGATCAGTCTAGTCAACAGCCTAATTAAGGAGCCACCAAGAATACTCCCACCAGCACTGACAGTACAAACCATATGGAGAGAGCAAACCCCTCTCCCTTTGAGCACTGATGATGTTACCGAGCTGGGTCATGAAATGTCAGCAAGAAAACAACCCAGCTCAGAGAGCACCAAGGACCCCACAGTGCTCTGTACCCAAGGTGACTAAGGCCTGTGTTTGACATGTTTTACAATACAGGTAGTCCTCAACTTACAACAGTTCATTTAGTGGCCACTGAATGTTACCACAGCATTGGGAAACTTAAGTGTGACTTATGACCATTTTTCACGCTTACAGCCTTTGTAGCGTCCCTGTGATCACATGATCACAATTCAGATGACTTGTATTTCTGACGGTTGCTGTGTCCCAAGGTCACGCAATCTCTTTTTGCGACCTTCCAACGAGTAAAGCCATCAGGGGAGCCGGATCCACTTAACAACCATGTTACCAACTTAACAACTGGGGCGATTCAATTAATGTGTCAACTAACAAGATACCCCTTTGATCTTTTTAGCTGCCAGCAGAAAAGGAGTGGGGGAAAGCAGTGCATTCCTTAAGTGCCAAGATAATCACCCTGGCAGCCCAAAGTTGTCAGAGTGCAAGAAAATTACTGGAAAGCATGATTGATGACTCTTGGCTATGGATGTGTCCCATTGGAGAATACACATCCAGGTGGGGTGAGGGGAAGACCACGGTCAAGGGGGACATGTATGATGTATTTTAGTATCAGTTGCATCCAGCTAACACCAACATGGCCACTTCTAATAAATCAATTTTCTTTTCTCTGAGATGTGGCTAGAGACTTATGATTTGAATGGGGTGGATTTGTTGGAGCCCTGGCATAACGACCGTGGCAAGCAAGGATGTAAAATGGGGCAAAACAGAGCAAAGCTCACTTAACCAAGGTCTCACTTAAGACCAGACATTTTGGGGCTCAATTGTTGCTGTAAGTCGAGGACTACCTTTATAAATCAGTAAACAGCCTCTAGTGGATGTAGACTGACACCAAGGGCCTATTTCCACACGTCAATGTCTAGCATGGCTCCGGCTACTACCTCTTTCTCTAAGGCATTTTTTCTTTCTTTCTTCTTTCCTTCCTTCCTTCCTTTCTTTCTTCATCCCTCTTCACCTTTCAGATATTTGTTCCATAATAGGTCTTTTCTGAGAATTCCTGTGGCTCCTACGCCAAGGTTCTGTTCCCTCAGGAGTTTGAGGTTGGCTTGACATACAGGTTGTCGTTGAGAAGTTTATTCGTGTGCTATTTAAATGTTTGGGTTCCTTTCCCCTTCCCCCACCACCCCACCCAAAAGGGGAAAAAGAAAAACCAAACCCTGCATGGTAATTGCATCGCTACCATGCAAGGCGCCATCGTGAATTAACGGCTTGAGTTTTGCTTTTGAAGCTGCTTAATTTCCATCGACTAACCCTGCATTTGCCTCGTGTGGAAATAGAAACGATTCGGCATCGCGTTTTCCCTTCCTCGTCTTGTGATTCACCCTCCCGTCCCCATGAACTATAACGATATTTCTATATTGCTATAGAAATAACACTCTAAAGCAGGGGTCCCCAACTCCTGGGCCACAGCCCAATACCGGGCCGTGGCTGATTCAGAACTGAGCCGTGTGAGAAGAGAGACAATGCACAGCTCAACTCGCACAAGCGCTGGGCCGGTGTATGCGGTGTATGCGCTGGGCCGGTGTATGCGCGCGCGTCTCATCTTTCAGCTGAGCAGTGTGTCTGCAAACACATGCGCACCAACTCACCCCTTTCATGGCCCAGTGGGTCTTTGACAATTCACCACAGCCAGCTCGCCATGACCAACCCGCCACAGCCAACCCGCCACGGCTAACTCACTGCAGGACATCTTGCCACAGGACCAGTGGCTACGAGACAAGAGTTACACAACTATCAAAGATATATAGTGGAATAGAATCTTTAAAGAAAGGATGCAAAAGGAAGGGACAAAATACAACGCCAATGGCCAACATTAACATCATTTTTATTTATTTTAAGTAATTAAATGGAATTGTTAAATTGTCCTGCAGTGAATTGTCTTGCGGTAAGCTGGCCAGGACAAATTCTCCAGCTACAATTTGGCTGTGGTGAGTTGTCCCATTCCTGGGCCCAGTTCCACTCTGTCCCGCCCCCCCACCCAGGCGGGCTGCCAAGCCGTCAAGTTTGGGGACCACTGCTCTAAAGGGTCCAAAAATGTCTATACATTAATGTCAGCCTTTTTTCTCCCACCCCCGTTAGAATGCATTCCAAAATGGAATATTATATATGCTTATTGACCCATATATAATATGGGCCAGGATATGTTTTCTTTCCGGCGATTTCCACCGTAATTCCATTTATAATTTTAGTTTGCCATTCCACGCCCTTCGTGTCAGATAGCAACCGCATTGATGCTATTCCGTCGTCGAAGATGGTCTGATCCAGCTCCCGTCCCTTTGCATGTGAAAGGAATGCCGCCATTTTAAGTCCACATTTTAAAGGGGTCCCTGTTCCACTTCCAGAGGGGACGGCGGGCATGGGTGCATGCCCTTCCGTGTGTGACATTTTGTTTCTCTCTCCCCCTCCCCCATCTTCCGGTGCTCAAGAGGTGTCCCTGTACTCTTTTTCTCCCCAAGACCCTACATGGAAGAGCCGCGCCAGGTCAAAGTGCAGAAAGGGGCTGAACCCCTAGGGATCTCCATTGTGTGCGGAGAAAATGGCGGCATATTCGTCTCGAAAGTCACCGGTGGCAGCATCGCCCATCAGGCCGGCCTTGAATATGGTGATCAGTTGTTAGAGGTAAAGCTTTGAGTCCATCCTGAGGACACTGTTTTCCAATCGGCTGTGCGGTATGGGGGGGGGGGGGTATCTCGACTTACAACAATCTGTTTAGTGACCCTTCCAAGTGACATCACTGAAAAATGTGACCGAGGACTGGTTTTTTTTCCCAAACTTATAACCTTTGTAGCCTCCCCATGATCACATGATTGAAATTCAGATGCTTGGCCTACCGGTTCCTATTTATGCCCAACACAACCTTCTGACAAGCAAAGTCAGTGGGGAAGCTGGATTCGCTTAACAACCAAGTTGCTAACTTACCAGCCGCGGTGGCCATAAAGGTTATAAAATAGGGTGGGGGGGGGGAATTCAATAAACACCTCAGTTAACAACAGAAATTCTGGGCTCGATGCAGTCATAATTCAAGGCCTGACTGCAAGGCCTGACCCCAACTAATATCGGGACAGCTTTTGTTAAAAATGTGGCTCCCTCTGGAGTTGTTAAAATATGTTGTTCCCAAATGTTGTTTTCAGAAAGAAAGGGGGAAAAAAAAGTCAAACAGGCTCCATTGTCGTAAGTCGAGGACTACCTGTAGATAAAGCTAACACCTTCAAATATCCAGATTTATTGGCATTTTAACTAGTTTTCATTGACGCTATTTCTACTGCTTACCCTTGTCCCTAAGGATGGGTTGTTTAACATGCTGTTGGTAAATATAGATGGGTCCAAACACATGTCCTTTGTCCTGTATGTGTGTCTTACCTGCACACGTTTTTGCAGAGTGTCACCTTCCTTTATTTTTCCCAAGAAAAAACACCACACTCCAGGATTCTCTTTATTTCCAAGAATGCTTTGACACCCCCCTACCCCCCCACCCCCAGCAAGCATTTGTAGAGAATGAAAATGGCAAAAAGCTACATTCCAGGGCTCTGTTTGGAAATTTGCCTATCGTCCAAATGTACTGAACGGAAAATTGAGGGATCTCATAACTGAGAAGTTGTGGCGCTGGCCATTTTTACCAATGTCCCTTCAGGAGTTTCGTTTCCCCATCTGGTTTAATGACTTCATCTGTTCTGATCCAGGTTTCCCAAGATCATGAAGCAGACTCCTTGTTCTGATAAAACCCCTTTTTATTTAGGTTAAGGAGAATTCCTCTCCAGAAAAGTCCCGGCCAACAGTCTTTCAAGAGATTGCACATCTACAGACCTTGATCAGGCTTGGAGAGTTGCCAGGGTGATAGCTTCCAAACGCCATGCTGGAGCAGCAATTACTTGCCAAGGAGTCAGGAACAGATCTTCATGCTAATGAATTGAACTAATGGTCTCCTGCAAACCCCACTCCCCTTTCGCTCCTCTTTATTCCCTATGGGAGGGGCCATTCACCATCCACTGTGCCTTTACTCCCAAATTGACCCTTGTTCCTTAACTGTTCCCTTCGACTGGCAGCTCTGTGCATGTGCACTCTGGGAACAGGCTCCAGCTGTTCTTCTGCCCCACTGATCTCTGACTCCAAAGGCAGCTGATAATTGTCAGGTGGCCCTGGCCCCATCTCTGCCTCCAACGCAGAGCCCTCATCAGAGCCTTCCACAGACACCAGGACTGGCCCATGATCTCCCCAACCTCCTCATTGTCTGAGTCTGCCACCAGCTCTGCTGACCACAACATCATCCTGACAACTATTACGTTGGCATAGGTAGTCCTGAAATTGCAACCGTTCATTTCGTGACTTTTTCAAAGTTACAACAACACTGAAAAAAATGATTTATGACTTTCACATTTACAACCGTTGCACCATCTCCATGGTCACGTGGTCAAAATTCAGATGCTTGGCAACTGGCATGTATCTATGATGGTTTCACTGTCCCAGGATCATGTGATCCCCTTTTTGTAACCTTCCCAGCTGGCTTCTGAGAGACAAAGTCCCCAGGGAAAGCCAGATTCACTTAAACAACCACGTGACTAACTTAAAAACTGCTACGATCCACTTTACAACTGTGGCAAGGAAGGGCATAAAATAGAGCAGAATCCCCCTTAACAGCGGTCTTGCTTAGCCACAGCAATTTTGGGCTTGGTTGTGGTCGTAAGTCGAGAACTACCTACATAGGCATGGCATTTCCCCCGAAACTCAAAAAGCATTTTTTCTCCCAAAGGGGTAATTAAGTACGACAAAACTTGCATGAATGTGTGCATGCGTGCACGAGCGCGCGCACACACAGTCATGTCTTAATGCAAGAGAAGCAATCGGTTGGAAAAATCAGTGCAACGTATTTGATCAGCTGGGGAAATCCAATTTCGGTAAGCAAGATTAGCAACATTAAACACAGAATTCTGTCTGAATGAATCCTCGCCTGGTTCTCTTCTCTTCTCCCAGTTTAACGGCATCAACTTGCGGAATGCTACGGAACAACAAGCTCGGCTGATCATTGGGCAGCAGTGTGACACCATAACTATTCTGGCACAGTACAACCCCCACATGTTCCAGTTGGGCAATCATTCACGATCAAGGTAAGCTTTAGACCTTCTCCGCCAAAACCTGTATCATGTGAAGATCTTCTTACTGGACGTAGGTTTGAAGCAGAGACCAAGACACTCTTACCATGAAGCACCAGTTGGTTTATTGACAGATTATAGCAAGTGTTGTGTCCTGTTGGCCGCTGGCCTCTCCAACAGCCGAATTAGAGGAGGAAGAGGAGGAGGAGGAGGGGCATAGGAGTCAGGGTCAACATCAAGGCAATCTGAGAGCTCTGAAGGGGAAGAGCGAATGGAACTGGCAGAGAGAGAGAGAGAGAGAGAGAGAGCGCCTGGGCCATTCATCAGCCCTCAGATGGACAGTAAACAGCCCCCAGGTCTAGTGGTGGCTGATGAGGAAGAGGAGGAACAGCTGGGTCCAGTGCCTAACACACAGATGCACAGAAGGCAGAGGAGAGGAGAGCAGTGGAAATCTGTGGGCCGGTCCTTGGGATGGAAGAGCCACCGCTGCTAGCAAGGCCCCACCCTTTTATCTGGGGATTAAAAGGCAGGGGGCAGAGATGAATAGATGTGGCAGACCACTATTCATCTCCCTGCCAGACAATCTTGTTAGCCTGCGAGATAAACTTTTTGCTGGGGCTGCCGGTGTTCCTAATAAAGGAATCTTTTGAGTTCACGTCAGAGGGTTTGTTGTGTTTGGGGAGCTGGGTGAGAACAGCAGGGTTCCCCAACCTTTCTGGCTTTATGGCCCAGCTGGTGGGGGGAGTGGCTGTGGTTTCGTGTGAGTGGCAGGCAAGTCTACGCATGCACACAGCTCCATTTGCGCGAGTGGCGGGCACACACACACACACACACTGCTCTCGCAAAAGAGGTACTGGCGCTCACCTGCTGCTCGCACAAATGGCAATGCATATGTGCTTGCCTGCCACTTCCACAGCCCGGTTCCAAATGGCTCAAGGCCCAATAGTTGGCCACAGCCCCTAGGGGTTGAGGACCCCTTGATTATAGTAACAGAGGCAGGATGAGAAAGCCTGAAAGAGAAATGGAGTCACGAGCCCTCTCGATAGGTCTCTGCGAAAGGTCCTTTTGGTTTTTATTGGCTCACAAAATAGATAGCAGAGAGCCAAAGAAATACAGTCTTCCACGTGACAGATTAAATGAACCTTACTGATTGGATTCATTGACATACATTTTGAATGGGTGTTCTGACCCAGGCCCTTTTCCGACAAATCAAATACAACTCAAAAAGAACAGAAACCTTGTAATGTTTTTACAAAATAATTAGCTGTGATAAGCACAAGCCTTGCCAAACTGTGCGAGACTTGCCAAAAGATAACAGACAAGAAATAATCTGCAATACAAGAATCTTCTAATACAAACTCGTGGACATACTGGAATGTTGACGAGGCTGGCATTTCAAAACGTCTTTGCCTTCTGCAAAGAAGGTTAATTTCACAGCTGGATTTTATCTTCTTGAAGGAGAGGGGCCATTACCTTTCAGCCTTACCCCCAAGTCACCCGTGCTGTTGTAGCTGCTCTTTCCTCCGAGCAATCCTGCATGCACGCGCACTTGGCACAGGCTCCTCAGGAATCTCCTCATCACTGCTGCCAACCCCCACAATCTCTGAAATCAGCAGTCCACTCCCTGATGGTCCTGGCCCCTCATCTGAATCCTCACTCTATTCAGCCATCCACACCTGCTGCCTGCTAACCCCAACAATGGGTAATGTCAAGCCCAAAAGATCAGATCCACACAGAGGGACAAATTAAATTGATTTATTGCTAAAAGGCCTGGGCACCAGAATCTTTTCAGCTAAGGGTTAGCACTGCTTAGAGTGATAACAATGAAATTCATGGAGGTTTGGACTTAGACTGTTTGTGACTATGTAGGGATTCTAGGCTGATCCCTCTTTAATTCCGCCCAGAGCTTCTGCCATGTCTTCTCCTTACCAGTTATAATGGATGGGGAGGATGAGGTACATTAAATTTGTTTCTGCTGATCAGTCACAGCTGTAGGGAGCCAGAGGCACAGTTAAAAGTGCACTTAATTGTCATCTTGTGAGTGAGGTTTTTTTTTCTTCGAAGAAGTCTGACTTGAAGTGGAAAGAATATAGCTTCCTTAGTCTACTTGCAAGGAACCCGTGCTGGACTAAACTACAGGTTCAAGTAAAATTCAAAGGCAACCAATCAGTCAAGCAGAATATGAGCTGGAAGGGGCCTTGGAGGTCTTCTAGTCCAGCCCACTGCTAAAGCAGGAGACCCTATATCATTTCAGACAAATGGTTGTCTAGTCTCTTCTTAAGAACCCGCAGTGATGGAGCACCCACAACTTCTGAAGGCAACTTCTGTTCCACTGGTTGATTGTCCTCACTGTTAGGAAGTTTCTCCTTAATTCCAGGTTGCTTTTCTCCTTGGTTAGTTTTCATCTGTTGCTTCTTCTACCTTCTGGCGCGGAGGTCTTGAGGATCATTCTAGACCCCAAAAGTTCTTGAAAGTTATCACATTTTATTCGCCTTTCAATTCACTTCTTTTATGGCTCCCTTCTTTCCTTTAAGCTCCCGCCTGGAACCAGTGAGTAGTCATTCCACTCCACAAAGCAGTGGAGCTCCAACTCCTGACAGCCATTCCATAATTGACACTGTGAGCGAACAGGATGAAGGGACCATGACTCCTCCCTCCAAGGAGACCACGCCAACCACCAGTCCCCGCAATTCAGTTAGGTAAGCTACTTTCATTACCTAAACTAGGTATCCTCATCAAGCTTTCAAGAAGAGTTGGACTGCCATCGGTCAGAAATGGTGTAAGATTGCTTGGGCAAGGGGTTGCACTAGATCAGGGGTTGCCAACCTTTTGGACCTCAGGGACCACCAAATTCATAATTTTAAATCCCGGGGACCACTAATATGAATTTTGACTGACGGTGGTTTGCTGACGTTGGTGGGAAAGTTGGCCCCATATTCCAGAGCCTGATCTCTCCCTCCCTCCCTCCCTCCCTCCCCCTCCCCCTGTCTCATATCTACTGTGTTTGTCTGTCTGTCTGTCTATCTGTCTGTCTATCTATCTATCTGTCTGTCTGTCTGTCTGTCTGTCTGTCTGTCTGTCTGTCTATCCGTCTATCCGTCTATCCATCCATCCATCCATCCATTCATCCATCCATCCATCCATCCATGCATCCATGCATCCATCCATGCATCCATCCATCCATCCATCCATCCATCTATCTATCTATCTATCTATCTATGGTATCTATCTTTATCTTCTCTGTCTCTGTCACTCTTTCTCTGTCCCTTCCTCTCACCCCCCTTGTTTCATATCTGCAGTGTCTGTCTGTCTGTCTCTCTCTCTCTCTCTCTCTCCTCTCTGTCACTGTCTCTCTCTCTTTCTCTTTCTCTCTGTCTCTCTCTCTCTCTTTTAAAGGATGATGTGATAGAAATAGGTGTTGAATTTTTTTTAAAATAAAAACAACACATTCTTATAAATACTCTGCGCAAGGAACAAGGGCACGAAAATGAGTTGAGTATTCGCATGGATACAAATTTGTTGTGTGTCCAATCACACTTGGCCAATAAAGAATTCTATTCTGTTCTCTTCAATTTCATTCCATATTCTATTCTATTCTATTCTATTCTATTCTATTCTATTCTATTCTATTCTATTCTATTCTACTCCAGTCCATATTCTATTCTGGTCTAGTCTAGTCTCGTCTCGTCTCAACTCATCTAGTCTTCACTCCAATTTCTATTCTATTCTATTCTATTCTATTCTATTCTATTCTATTCTATTCTATTCTATTCTATTCTATTCTGACATCCAGATGTTGAGCGGGGAACAGTTCATTCCTGTCCTGAGGCGCTCAAACCCAACCACCTGCTGGAACATCCTTTTATCTTTATCCTTCTCCCCGTCCCCCCCAGAAGGATTAAGGGGAGCCATGGAGGATTAGTTTGATTGATGGCCTTCTCTCTTCTTTGTCCTTGTTCATAGGAGTTCTGTTGACACGATTAAGAGGACACCTGAACCTAGAACGGTTAACATCAGGAAATTTCAAGCGGAGCTCGGAATCCAAATTGGTGGTGGGAACATGCATGGGATATTTGTCTCTGACCTAGAAGAGGAGAGCCCAGCCAAAGGATCTGAAGGTCTAATGCCAGGAGATCTAATACTGGAGGTAACGCTGTTAATAAGTAAAAGAAAGAAGGAACCAAGAAAGACAAAAGAGTTCTAGATGCCAGAAAAGAAGAGTGATGGTGTGAACTTGGTCACATAAAACAAATTTTGGGGCTGTTGTGTTTTTAACCAGAGCTTTGGACTATTTCTGGGGTATCTTAAAAGGTGAAATCGTGGCAGCTGGACCAAAGTTTATTAAAACTGAGGCGTTTTGTTACTCATCCAGGTAACTTCTTCAGTCTGAATGAAAATTTGGGTAGGCGGAGAGTCAGTGTTGGCTCAGTTGCCATTTCACCTTCTGAAATATTTTTGGCCTGGGTGATTGAATTTGAATTTGAATTCTTTATTGTCATTGTACGTATATACACAGTATACATACAACAAAACTCATATAACACCCAGAGACCAGACCCAACACACACATACACATGACAATCCTCAAACACACCCCAGCCACCAAAATTCCCCACCCTCTAAAATCACACAAGCATCCACACAACAGACCAAGCAATACTGTCCAACAGCTCACTGATGATGGTCCTTAAGTTCATTGCTAAATGCAATTATAGCTCTGGGATAAAAACTGTTCAGAAAAACGTGTGCTCTGAGTTTTAATTGTTCTCTATCTTCTGCCAGAAGGCAACAGTTCATAAAGATTGTAAGCAGGATGGGAAGAGTCTCGTTGTGCGACTTTCTCAAACAGTGAAATGCGAAGATGTCATTCAGGGCTGGTAGCTGGAGCCCAATGATATTCTGGGCAGTTTTAATGATTCTCTGCAGAGCTTTTTTGTCTGCTACAGAGCTGCTCCCGTACCATGCAAGGATGCCGTATGTAAGGACACTCTCAATGGTGCTGCATTAGTAAGACAGAAGTAGATGCTGAGATAGATTTATCCTCTTCTGTGCCTTCTTCACAGAATTGAATCTTCATTTACTGTTTCTGAGCTTGTTTTCTGGGTTTTGAAGGACTTGAGGGACTACTTTAGAGCACAAGTGATGATGTCCTGTCTCAGAAGCCACAAGGTGTCATCCCGCAGATAACCCCAAATTGCCTATATTCCCCCAGTCCTGACAGAACTGTTGCCTGATGACATTATCACTTGTGCAATATCACTCGTAGCCCGTCATCTCCATACAGCCCGTACTCTGATATGAAATAAAATAAAAGAATAGGTCATTTTTAGACCATTGCAAAATCCATGATGGTGGGTCTCATTATCTGTGTGGAAATGTACACTTCTATCTGGGATTTCATACAAGTTTCGAGCCATTTGCTTATTTCACCCTACGGTGAGGAAGATTAATTTCAGGTTGTATGGTGTTGGATTACACAGCTTTAGCTAACCCAGGGGTGTCAAACACAAGGCCCGCAGGGCACATCAGGTCCACAGTGTGCTTGGATCCAGCCCATGGGGCCATCCTGGAAAATGTAAGGGGACGGCCAGCATGGCTTCAGCCCGCTCTACCCAGTGCAAAGAGGAAACATGCCAGCTGTCAACTCATAAAGCATTCCGGGCCTACTCTCGAGTTGCCATAGGCAGGAGGAGGAGAACAGATGGAGCAGCTCAGTTGCTATGACCAGAAGCACATTCCATGCATACCTTTCTCCAGATTGTATCAGCCAGTGAGAGTGCTCATTGGAAAATGTGATTTATGACACATCCTGGGAGGATGGGGGGAAACGAGTTGTTTTGGGATTGCTCGCAAGGCGCTTATTACTATTGGTACTACCCTTGCTTGCCTTTGCCATAGTCATTCTATTTCTATTTGTAGGTCTTTGTATTTTGTTGCTATTATTGTTATCGTTATTATCATTATTATTGTTATTACTATTGTTGTTATTGTTGTTGTTATTACTATTGTTGTTATTGTTATTGTTATTACTATTGTTGTTGTTGTTGTTATTATTATTATTATTGTTGTTGTTGTTGTTATTATTATTATTATTATTTACAGTATGGGTCCGTTGACATGCGAAATAAAACAGCGGAGGAAGCTTACCTTGAAATGCTCAAACCAGCTGACACGATTAGAATAAAAGCTCAGTACAGATTCGAAGAATTCAACAGGATCAAAGATTTACCTGGAGATGGTTTCTATGTCAGGTACTTAAAAAAAAAATATCTCACCTCGTATTTTCATCAACTATCATGGGCTGCTTATGGACACAAACTTTTCTTCCTGGTTTAGTGCAGAAAACTTAGCCAAATTGCTACAACTTCATTGGAATATTTGCATATGTGAAGAACTTGGTGCTAGAGTAGGGAGGTGATGCCATTTAAACCACAGCTCAATGACCAACTTAAATAATATTAAATATTTGAGATGATTAAATCAAACTGCACTGGTGATAATTTCATATTTCATTGTCCATTCTTATGTCTGTTTTCTGAGTTACTTGCAAAGTGCAGAACCTAGGAATAAAGATTTTTTGAAATGGGTATTTTTTACAATGTCCTTTGGAACCCCAGCCTTCTAGAATTTTTTCAAGATTTTCTTTCGCTTCCTTTTTCAGGTTCTCCCTTCTTTTTTTCTTCCAGCAGTTCTGAGTCATTGTTTGGTCTCCCACTTATTTCAGGGGGGGATGCCCCCGCCAGCCTGGAATTGAAAAGATTAAGGGATCCAGTCCCCAAAAACTGATGGGGAAGAGAGTGGGATCCAAAATTTTGCTTAAAACAGAAGCTTGGAAATCCCAAGGGTGCTTTTGTTTTAAAGACAGCTGGACTTTCTGGTTTTTCTTCCTTTGTTTCTCATCCAGAAAGCTTCTTCGGTAGCATCTTGGATGAGAAGCAAAAAATAAATAAATCAGAAAGTCCAGTTGCCTCTTGAAAAAAAAAATAACAATAAAAGCACCTTTGGGATAACCTGTATGATTAAGAACCTCCCTAGAAAGGAGCTTGGAAACTTTTCAAGACACAGAAACTGCCAGGTTTTTTTTTTAAAAAAAACACACAATCTGGCTGAGTTTGCAACCAACCACAATAACAATAATATTCAGCTCACACAAGTAGAGATGACACAAATGGATTAAAAGCAACATCATAGTGGTCACCAAAATGATTCACTGGACTATATGTGGAACAACTTGCCTCCAGAAGTTGTGAATGCTCCCAGCACTGGAAGTTTTTAAGAAGAGATTGGACAACCATTTGTCTGAAATGGTAGAGGGTTTCCTGGACTAGAAGACCACCGAAGTCCCTTCTAACTACTCTACTCTACTCTACTCTACTCTACTCTACTCTACTCTACTCTACTCTAC